AATTTATAACGTTTTTCTCCAGCATATCGTTGTCGACAACCAACGCGTGGTGCGGCTGCAATTAGCCAAGGAGTTGGGGATCCTCAAGATCCCGTTGGTAAGAGATTATTATAAATTATACATTCTAATTCTAATTCTAATTCTAATTCTGATTCTATTTCTAATTTAATTGTACTGTTTCTTTTTTCAGGAAACCCATCGCAGCCAGGTATACGTTCGGGGTTTCATAAACATTTACAATTGGGTGACGACGCGTGCGGAGAGGGAGGTGGAACGGTTATTCAGAGAGCATTATACGGACGTGTGGGACGACGATAGTCTGTTTTTGGCGGAACTATTTGGCCTCCAGCCGTACGAGGATCCTGAACCCGAAGAATGGTGGTGTAAGTATATACATATATATATACATTTTTTTTTTCAATTAAATATATATATATATTTTTTTTTCATTTTTTTTTTACAGAAAGCTGTGGAGAAGGAATTTTTATTCTGTGCAACTAATTCGAAGAACCGCGCAAGGAACATAAACGCTTGCTTTATCGGTAAAAAAGAAGACTCCAGCATCCCCTTAAACCGATGTTCAAAGTTAAAGTGGTCGATCATATTGAACAGTTAGTGCAACATTTTGATACTCGAATCTCAACGAAATATGTAATAAAAGTTTCATAACATACTCGAATCGCAATTGAAAGTATTAAAGTTTTTGACACAGTAGTTTTTAGGGATGCTATTCTGCAACTGTTTTTACACGCCTGCTGACAGTTGTCGTTGAGTAGCTTTCTTACCATACAAAATATCTGCGCAACAACATCGATAACTGTCGGTAGGCGTTTAAAAACAGTTATAGAATAGTACTGAGCGCTCAGTAAGCTCTCGTATCTGTTTGGTCTATATTTTTGGTCCATATTCAAATGGAATATGCCAAACAGATGCAAGAGCTCACTAAGCGCTTAGTTAGCGGTTATAGTACTGAATGCATCCATTGATAGAGATTTGACAACATTAAAAAGGAGAATCAATTTCTGTAATTCATTAAAACAAAGCTTTGCACACGCGAACTCTTCTTTGCTTAAACGATCGATTTTACTCCAGTAGTTCGTCAAATACAAATGTTAAGCCAGCGGCACACGAAGCTTGTTTACCTGCTGAATTCCTAGCTGGATCAGATTCTTGCCACCGTATTGGCTGCGGTGCTGACAGTGCCAGTATGGCAACCAATCCGATGGCAATAATCTGATCCATAATAAGACATACTGATAATCAAACGTGCATGTTTCAAGTGTAGAATCACCATTTGAGCCGGTTTCAACGCCAATTATTTAATCAGCCGTGGAACTGATGACTAATCACGTTTGCTGTTTAGTAGAATTGAGCACTTACGGTTGACAGTGAATCACCGATTAGGGTTAATCGAGTTGATGTTTTTTCTTCAAGGATATTCTTATAATGATATGTAACATTAGTATAAAAGATTTGATATCAACAAAACTGGCGCCAAGTTAAATTCCATGTAATTCGTGCGGATACCAAATTATATAAATAATATTAACTTTAATGATATCATTCCTACAAAAGATTTGATATCAAGAACTGGCGCAAAGTTAAATTCTATTTCTCTCTCTCTCTTTATACCATGTCAAATTATTAATCTTATGATATGTATCATTTGTATAAAAGAATTGATATCGACAACTGTGGGGCCAAGTTAAATTCGACTATCAAAATGAAAAGTAAAACTCAAGTGATACTATCTTTATTATTTACTTAATCCAAATAGTACTATCTTTAATTTTTATGCAACGAAACTTAAGTATACGTATACTTATTGAAGAATCTTCCTATTCCAATCCAAATGGTTTAAATTCCTCTTAAATGAAATTATTATATCACATTTCATTCCAAGACATTTTCTCTTCCAACTAAAGTAGTGGTTATTTAATTTTCCTTCGAAACATTATACAAAATATTATCACAAAATTGCGTTACCTTGCTCAATTTAAGTGTTATCACAAAAAATTAAAGAATTTACCGTATAAAATGAAAAAATTTAATTTAAATAGAAAAATTTTTCATGTAAAAACACTTGGCGCTGCTAGATCGTGTAAGAAAAACTATAAAAACAATTTAAAATTAGAATAGTAATTAATAAATATAAGTAATAAATATAATTATATTTTAAATGTAATAATAAAAGTAACAATAAATTTAATCTTAACTTTACACTGAATAAGAATAATTTTATTATTTATTTTTCTTTTATAACGTATGTTTACAAATCTAAATTGATTTTTTTCAGACTTAAACTTAATAGTATTCACAACGTTCATAATTTACACGACTCTATAACTAAATCGCATATATACACACACTAGATACTTTAACTCTCATTGGGAATGCTTCTTATTTTTCTTATTTTTTTAAATATTCACATTTTTTAATATGCTAATTTTCCTTATTAATATATTATTTTTCTAAATATTACATTTTTTAAGTATTACATTCTTATTTTTCTTATTTTTCTAAATATTACATTCATATCTT